TTTATCATTATCTAAATGAGAAATTTGAGGATAGAATTTCAGTCGAACGAATTAGCTTTTTCAATTTATACGTCTAATTCTTATATGAGAGAAAAATAATTTTTGCGTGATAATGTCTCAGTCCTCCTTTTGTTTAAAGGTTACCGAAGTTATCACAATTACCTTCACAATCTTGAGACATGAGATCGAACTCAGAACTGCTTCGCGGTATGCACAAGCTGAATCTCTTGTGCCTTCTCTTAAAATATTTTATTCGGTATCTGCGATCGTAGACACACAGTAAGAACTCCGTATCGACGAAAACTGTACAGTATTCGAAGCGCGTCGAGAATAATGGAATGAAATTTAATTAAAAGTACAGATTAAGATTAAACTACAAAATTAATTTTCATTACGATTACTGTTATCGGATATACGTACTCAATAATAAGTGTAAAAGTGGTAGCATAAGACTTCAGACCTTCCTACCTTTTTTTTCAACGCTGGAGAACTGTTCACGGATATCCGGTCAGGGGGTTAACAGACCGGCGGACTCCGGCGCCTCCTGAGAAGAAGGGGTAGATAAGGAAGGCCTTCTAACCTTCCTACTTAAAGTTTAAAATTCATTTTTTTTGTAAAAAATACATAATGATTGTAAAACTTTATTTCTGAATACAGTAATACCGAATACCGTTACAAGATTAAACAGACACTAGGAAACTAGACCTAATTGTATGATAAACAATCTCTACGTAGTTCTAAGTTCAACGTCACAAGTCAAGTCGTAACTTGATGAATTACCTAACTTATAAACGCGAGTTCGTTAAGTGGACATTTCTGTTGACTTTAGGAATAATTGATTATAACGAGAACTTGTTAAATAACTTTAATATTAATAATGAGTTTTGGCTTTCAGCATGAATCGAGAATTTATAATACAAAATTACAACAAAAACAAAACAAAAATTAATTTAGTCGAAGTCACTAAAATATGCAAAATATTTAGCATAATTTAAAAATTGCTTTTTTTATTGCTTAGAGGGGTGGACGAGCTCACAGCCCACCTGATATTAAGTGGTTACTGGAGCCCATAGACATCTACGGCGTAAATTCGCCACCCTCCTTGAGACATAAGTTCTAAAAGGTTTCTAGTATAGTCAGAACGGCTGCCCCACCCTTCAAACCGAAACGCATTACTGCTTCACGGCAGAAATAGGCAGGGTGGTGGTACTTACCCGCGCGGACTCACATGATGTCCTACCACCAGTAAAAGTGAATTGCTGGTGAGATCTTGATAAAATTGAAATGGAAACACACGAGAAGCACCAGCTTTACAATAAAAATCATTAAAATGGGTTCACCAAAGTGCAGAGAGAGAGAGAGAGAGACTGCCTATTCCCGTTAATTTTATGTCTGGTCAGCGTAACTGTAATAACTACCAGAAACATGTTAAATCTAAAATTATGACAGTAATACGACCATTTTATGAGACTACCGCTTACCGCGTACATATTCGGAACCTTTACGAAGCAGTCATAAAGCTCTCATACATAATATTGTATGGTCAAACAGAATCCTTCCTATGACCCCCATAAAAGCGATGCACGCCATAACTTGGTACAAAAGTTATGAGCCACATTTCCGCGCGAGTCTGAAAGCCTTATTATTATTATAGTATACGTGGGTAGATAAATAAATTTGTAATAGGGATTTCCGGATACAACACAGCTCTAAATTCTGTGCAGTGTATTTGAAGCTCGAATTCCAATTTTCCTATGGCCTTGTTGGTCTAATGGTACTGCCTATTTGGAGTTTGATTTGCTGTGGGAGTTTGTGTCTTTGTTAGTGGAATTTGATACTCTGGAACTGGATGTACTTGTTCATGTTTCATGCATAATATATTTTCCGTAACTATAACACATAGGTACTCTCATCGTAGACTGTTGAATTAATAACGTTTTGTTTATTGTTTAACATCAACAATCACTTAAGCTAGTACTTCAATTACAAATGATAGTACTTCAGCTTTTCGCCAACATGGTTGGTTATTCATGAGATTTTCTTTTGTTGAAACCACACGGGACCAGTTGCAATCATCGTTCAGTTAATTTCCTATTTCTAAACATGGTTTCCGGGCGGTTTTGAAGCGTGGGATAGCCATACAATACACGGTAGATGAAAGCATTCACTTTGTGATGAGATTCAGCAACCACTTAACACTGGGTGAGCTATATCCCCATCTAAAGCAATAAAAAACATAATTATGACTGATTTGTTTTTGTTATCTTTTTTTTTTATTATTTGATCTAGCAGCTGTCTTATCCTTAGTTTGTTTGTGACGGTAATAATAATATTTTGATATAATAATAAAAGACTTTTTATTTCATTTATCGGCCTCTTTTTTTTTGTCAACTTTTTCTTTTTCATGCTTATTAATTTAGGGTCGTTATTTAAGTACAAACCGGCAATATAGCTCCTTTATATTAAAGTTAACTGCTATGCTATGCTATTCAGTTTGCTCTTGCAAGCAGGCTAGAACGGTCTCCCGGCTGTTTTCTTGTATTATGATTGTACTGTTAAAAGTGAGACCTTACAACTCATGTCTCAAGGTGGGTAACCACTCCGGTAAGCACTAAAGACCAAGTGGGCTGTGAGCTCGTCCGCGTGTCTAAGCAATAAAAAAAATTGGTAAAGTGACTTTCTTTAAGTGACCTTAAAAAAACGTATGATGTCGTAATACGGTGATTGGAAAAATCAGTTTTGCGACTCTATAAGTAGTCGATGGATTCCGTGCTTGAAAATCACTCGAAAATTTTCATTTCCCTCACACGAGTAGCGATCCGTAAGTACACATACACTATCCAAGACTTACATCGTTTACTGCTCGTAAATAAAGATGAGATTTTCGCTTCAATATCTCCTCTGACTATCACTATTTTTATGATAAAGCCGGACGAAAGTTATGGAGCCTTCGAATAGTTTGCTTTAGTAGAATTTAAGTAGCACTAACGACATAAATCTTATTCTTTTATTTGTTTTGTGGCTTTTATTAGGAGGTCACGAATACCTTTGACAATGTCATAAAAAAAAATAAGTTTTTTTTTTGCTCAAAGAAAATCGTAATGAAGCAACTTCTCGCAATTTAGTTTATAGTAAGGAGCCCTTTGTTGAATTAAATGAAAGTAAAGCAGTTTTATAACACGTAGTTCTAATTGAGAGCGTTCTAACAATTACCCGGAAACGGAATCACAGATATATCATAGACTATCTTAATGTATAAACTAGAGATATACTCATCACACCAATAGACTATAAAGTAGGGTTCAACTTTCTAATTTCAACACTCTCACCAAATTTGAACCCTCTAACTTAAATACATAGATATCATTAGAACATATAAAACAATCTGAACTTAAAACACAATTAAGTCATCAAACTGACCAAAGCTTATATTAAGTTTAATACAGNTTTTGAGGTTATACTGAACTAGTGTTTTGTACTGATATTTGAAATTTTACACTTTTCACTATTACTACTTTACTTTTAATAAAAATAGGTGGCCTGGGCCCATAACCTGTTGAATTAAATGAAAGTAAAGCAGTTTTATAACACGTAGTTCTAATTGAGAGCGTTCTAACAATTACCCGGAAACGGAATCACAGATATATCATAGACTATCTTAATGTATAAACTAGAGATATACTCATCACACCAATAGACTATAAAGTAGGGTTCAACTTTCTAATTTCAACACCCTTACCGCATTATAATATATTAGGGTTCTGTCGAGTAGTTATAAAGGGTTTTGGGATTGACCTGTTTTAGTCTTGTAACCTTTAGGTCAATCCTCTGTTATACACGGTACAGCGAAAACGTTCGGTGCCACTAAATAGTGCGGTTGAGATGACATATTAATATGGAGACTGGTGAGTCAACTTCGACTTCGTCAACGACTTCCTTCATCGCCAATGTGAGCGGGATCTATAATACTACGAATAGAATTATTATTTATTCGTAGCTATAATACTTTAATTTCCCGACCTACTTACCATACTACGGAATTGAAAATTACTATTTATAAATTATCGTTTTTTTTTCTTCTTTTCTTTCAAAACGCTGTCTTTCGCGGCTTGACTCTGCCATTGCCCTGGTATTGCTGAAATCCATGGGCGACGGTCACCAGTCATCCTCAGGTGGGCCGTATGCTCGTCTGCCAACAAGGGCTATAAAAAAAAAATTCTATTACTAAGGCGCCCGGATTGCATAACTTTGCCTTCTTTTGTTTGTTTATGTATGTTTTAGTCTTTAGGTCTCTTAGAAATATATTCATTCTTATTATCTTCAGATTCACATTTCCTAGAGTCTACTAGATATCTCTAAGATCGAAGAGAGAAATCGACATAATTACTTCAGTGTATCGCTTAGGGCACCAGTGACCTATACGGCAGTATATTATATTATAATCTAAGAATAAATTGCAGGCACGTCCGCATTGCTAAATAAAATTTTAATTGAAAGAAAAAAAAATAGCAGCATTATTTCGTGTCGACGCTGAAAATTTGTATTGTTCCATTTTAATATTATGTATTGAAATTGCAAAGCTGTAATAATGGAAAACAGGCGAGTGCGACCAACCGAGATAACGGGCTATCGTACAGACAGAGAGTGTCATTATATTTGCCGATGCGGCAATTTATCTGCCGCGGCTTTTTGTTGCCGTCACTTGTAAACTATGAATATCGGAATCAATTCGAATGACGTCAATATCAAACAAAACGATATAATAACTAGCTGGCCCGGCAAACATTATTTCTATGAAAGATAAATAACGTAGATACGGACTGCAGCGCCATCTGACAGGCTAATTTGTAAATTTAAACCATTCTAAAGTCCTCCTGAAGGTACATAATTTTTTTTATTAAAATCGGTCCAGCCGCTCAGAAGTAGTTCAGTGACAAACACACGCGCAGAAGAACATAACAATATAACAGAACAATAACAATGAAACTTTTTGTTCACAGGTACAACGATGATCGTGTTCACAGTTTCGATACGTCAGTCCATACTGTACTTGAAAATCATGAAGTAGACAAATAAATATAACTAAAGATCTTTAAAAATGGGTCGCAAAATGCTGCGGTATTATTTGGCAGCTGTGCTACTTCAAGTGGTGGCCGCGACAAACATTTCATGCCCGACTGACGCCAATTGTACTTGTGGCGGTACCTTGGCTATCGAGCTTGATTGCAATATCGATGGTGAGTTAATGAACTTTATTTTCATCAATAAAATGCATCTTCTATCGGTAAATGTTAATGCGGTACTTACGTATTAACGCCACCGCGGCAAAAATTCTATTAAAAAGCCGATAAAAAGCAATCTTTATGTTTTTATATAGTAGCCTATCTTTTGGTTTTCTTATTGTTTGCTGATTTTTAGCTGATTTTTGAGCTTAACTTTGAATCCGCCTTTACTCCGGCGCTGCGGGAAGAGCAACCCTTCCGCCCTTGCGTGCCGGAGCACGGTCACTCGTGCTCCGCTTCCGGTTTTTATATACACTCTAGGGGTAGGGCAGACAAGACCAAGTGGAAAGTGGGGTGCTCTGATTCGCTTTTCCATATTTTTCGAATATCTATGCAATTTTATTACCAAAACACGAGCAATTTTACTATTGCTAACCATTAAATTTTTGCCGCGGTGGCGTTAATACGTGAGTACCGTTAATGCTTTTAAATACATACAGGCTTCGTTGTATTAAAACTAGTACATTGAAATATTCACGCAAAGTTTGTCTTTCAGGAAGCGTTGTGAACATAAATCTAGTACCGGAGATTTACATCAATGTCAAATGCGAGAATGCAACGGCACTCGATTATAGCAAACTACCGAGATGTACAAATATAACTGATTCATTCCAATCCGTTAGCTTCAAGGACTGTCCATTACCGGAGACTTCTTTTAAAGATGTTTTGGACAACATGGGCGTCACTAAAACTATGGCACTAATCTTCCAGAATGCCAAGAATCTATCGGGATACTTAGATCGAAAACATTTCGCTGGATTACAAGATTTAACCAAACTATTATTGTCAATTAACGGAGTTATTCATCTACCAGACGACGCTTTTGTTGACATCAACAAACTTACTTGGTTGAACATAAGATCGAAAACTATATATCTGTCTGAGGAGCTATTTAAGCCCTTGGAAAGGCTGGAAACTTTAGAAATTAGTCACAACCACATGACTAATATAACTTCAAACTTGTTTTCTCATCTATCCTTCTTGAGGAAACTTTCGTTATGGCAGAGTAATGTTACCTGGTTTTCCCAGGACTTTTTCAACGGCGTAGACGTTCTCGAAGAATTAGATTTAAGTTCTAATGGACTTAACAAACTTCCGGCGACAATATTTAAGCCGCTCAAGAAATTAAAGAAACTCACTTTATTTTCGAACAAATTTTCATCTTTACCGAAGAACTTATTCATCGGCAACAACGAACTGGAAACTGTAGTTATTTTAAACAATGATGTTAAATTAAGGGTACTGCCGGAACGTTTGTTTGGAAATTTGCCCAATTTGAAGCAGGTTTACGTTCAACGAAGCGGTATCGAGGTCGTGCCACGCGACACGTTCAAGAACTCACCGGCAATTACCAACATATCGTTAGCGTTCAACGATTTAAAACGCCTCCCGGAGGAAGTGTTCAACAATCAGATCAATTTATTAAATTTAGATCTCAGTCACAACAAGATCTTTGATTTGGCAACGAGAACGTTTTCAACGTTGGTGCGACTCGAGATATTGAACTTGTGTAATAATCAACTTGTGTTTATTGATGGGTGAGTCGAATATTAATTCACAATACTATTGTAATTTAACTCGAAAACAGAGATTACAAATGTTTATTGTAATTTGATAAGTAAATAATTTGAAGATAAGATAAGAAGAATTGAAGATAATGAAGATTTTTGTTTTGAGTTTGTTCTTTTTTTTGTTTTGTTGTTGTTGTTGTTTGTTATTCTTTTGTTAATGCATCTACCATGCATTATCTCTGCACCACCCTATGGTCGACTGGAAGAGAATGCCCATGGCATTAAGTCCGCCTGTGTACAAGTTTGGAATCACTCATACTATGTGAGCTGACGATTTCGAGATTAGAACGACAGTGGCATTCAATTCGAATATTTTTAAAGAGCTATTTTCTTTGTTGCAGATCACTATTCTCTTCTTTGTTAAGCCTCATCGACCTGAATATAGAGAATAATAATTTAAAGATTATTACGTCGGACTTGTTTCGGAACAACAAACAGAGGATGTCTATTTCGTTGGCGAACAATAATCTTGACTTCGAGCAGACAGTGTACGCGAACAACTGTTTGTCTCTGGAACCGAGATCGCCATTTGCAAATACTTACAACTTGAAGCTATTGAATCTGAGTCATAACGCGTTCAGGATCAGTTTCGTGGACTGGTGGATTAATGGTCATGAAATCGTTGATGTCAGTCACAATGCAATTAAAACTCTCGTGGTAAGCCAATGCGATTATATTACAAATTTTAACCGTTAGAAATGAATCTCGATTATAATAATAGTAACATTTCTTTCGCAGGCTTACAATGAGTATTCGGATTTATACGAGGGTGTTACCAGAAAGCCACTCAAAGAACTGTGGGTTTTCAATAATCCCATTCAATGTGTTTGCAACAATTACATGTTCGTTGATCTTCTTCAAGACGTAACAAACCGTAAGGTAATGTTAACCACATTTAAATTCTATTAATGTAATTGTTTTTTTTGTTTTTCTAACTCCATCCAATTTTCAGATTATGGATGCACGCTTGTTCCGTTGCCCGAAATGGCAAATAACATTCTGTAGTATTCGTGTTCTAACAATTTCGGCCATTATTTTGGGCTTGTGTGTGATGTACGCGGTCATCACCATGGCGTATTATATATACAAGTGTCGAGCGTACGAGACTCTTAAGTGGAAGCTGTCTTTACTGTCGAAAAAGGGCATACGGATTATCGAACAAGAATTAATAATAAGATACTCAGAAAAGGACGAAGAGTTTGTAATGAAAGAGATACTGCCGACCTTAAAGAATGAGAAAAATTTGAAAGTGTACACAAACGCGATCAGGTGTCCCAGCGATATCAGCCCGGACAACCTGAAGACCTGCGTCAAGGATGCTTACAAGTACACCACCTTAATAGTTTTCTCCCCAAATTATTTGACGACAGCCTACAGCAACGTGGACATCAAGAAAATACACAGCGAAATGTTGAAGGCTGAATACACTGTGTACGTTTTTGTGGACATCGGCCCAGAGAACTTCCTGTACGTTTTTCTGAAGAGCCAACGCGATACGAACACAATGGTGGTTTGGGGCGAAGCTAATTTTTGGTTAAAGTTCCTGGTGACCTTGGCTCAATACGACATTACCTACCCTGATCTTAACAAGATTTCCGATAAAATAACTTTTGCCGAAGTCGAAGAGAATGATAAAAAGAATTGTCACCTCTGTTACTTAGGGACTCACCGCTGCCACAGCTGCTGCTACGGTATTATTCTAGACCAGAGTCTAGTTTGAACTACCCAAAATATTCGAACAAACTTGTACTAGTGAGGTAAAGACTGAAAATTCGGTAACTATCATCACATATAACCTGAGTTTTAGATCATACTTAATAGTCGGAACGTAATCTTGTCTTTTCTCTATTTTCGTAATTAATTTTAAAGTAGCTGAAACCAACATAATAAGTTTTTTGGATGCGTGTATAAAAATTATGTAACCGGATCTTTCGTGTAAGGACTATACTAAAAATGTGTACACAAGTGAATTCATGTTGATTCTATTAACCGTGGTAAAACCTATACTCTTTTTGTGGACTTCGAAGAAGTATAAGTTATTGTGACGCCGCGGTAATGCACTCGATATGCGGTTTTACTTTAGATTTAAAATTATTATACCGTGTACATAGTTATAAGTTCATTGTCAAGTTTCATGGAAACTCTTTGTTATTGATAATTGTAAATTGCAGCTTACAATAAAGGACAATTATTAACGGATCTGTGTTTTATTCAGTAAACCTTAGCGGATAATATTAGTGAAATTTACAACGGGGTTGTCCCACACAGGCCACAGCGTGAATCAAACCAACTCTTCACATGAGTGTCGTAAAAGGCGACTAAAGGCAAAAAAGGATACATCAGAGAAACACATCGATTGGATTGGCAATCGTTTTAAGAATGTTCGAATTACTTACTTTTAAAGCTGTACATTGCATTCTTATGAAATACAAAATGAGAAATAGACTGCTATTGAAAAAGAGAATGCAAAATTTCAAATACAGCCCATAGACATCCACAACTGAAATGCACCACCCACCTTGAGATATAAGTTCTAAAGTCTCAGTATAGTTACAATGGCTGCCCCACCCTTCAAACCGAAAGGCATTACTGATTCACGGCGGAAATAGGCAGGGCGGTGTGCGGACTCACAAGTGGTCCTACCACCAGTAATTACGCAAATTATAATTTTGCGGGTTTGATTTTTATTACACGACTAGCTGACCCGGCAGACTTCGTAGTGCCTCAATCGATAGATAAAAGACCTAAACTTTTGTATACAATAAACTTAAAAAGGAATCCGATGGCCGACACATCTAAGGAAAAACAAAATTGACATTTTTATTTAATTCCGAGCATTTTTATATTTATCTACCTTTCAAACCTTCTCTGGTTTTCCAGAAATAATTCAAGACCAAAATTAGCCAAATTGGTCCAGCCGTTCTCGAGTTTTAGCGAGACTAACGAACTTTTTTTTTTTTCCTACCTATGCTGATAGCCTTCAGAGGCTATTTCAGCTTCACCCTAACGTTAGTAGGTGAGCTCGCGGGGCTCAACCGGAGAGTTGCTAACACTGACCCTAGCAAGAGCAGTCCTTCGCAGAATCTACCACCGGATCGGAAACGCGACCCACTGAGAAGATCCGGCGAGAAACTCAGTGGGCTGTGTCTATGGGTTAGTTCGCTCGTCGAGCCCTTCGTCGCAAGCGACGGGTTCGACGAGCACGGTGAACGGTGCTTGTGGTGCCTAAAAGCACCGTTAATGGATCAGGAGGATCCGTAATGACGTGCTAACGAACAGCAATACATTTTTATATATATAGATGTTATTCCTTCATCGTGGAAGTGAATCGTGAACATTTGTTAAGTACGTATCCCGCCTGCGGGATTCGAACACCGTTGCATCGCTCAACGCGAATGCACCGGACGGCTTATCCTTTAGGCCACGATGACTTAAATTTTTGTGAAATAGCTAATCATTTCAAACGTAGAAAGATTAATATTCTACAATATGATAAAAAGCTATATTTAATATTCTTCGGGCACGAACCTCTTGTATTGAATTTATTCAGTTTTGCAGCGCTTGTTATTCCATTCAATATGTCACAAAGCATCGGTCATACAATGGGACTCCGTAATGGATTTCCGGTAATTTTAGTTCAGCAAATAGTATTTGCATAAAGCTAGAGGACGATCTAGCCTAATAAAAATTGCAGAACTTAACGTATTCTAAACATAGCCCTGTACTTACAAAAAAGAGAATTGTTAGTCTGTCTGCGCTATTGATAAAATTTTAACTAAGCACTAATAGCCTGCCACTCTTGTCAGCTGCACTGTTTCAAACTATGCCGTCATTTTATAATGCAAGAGTGTTCTGAATTCGAGCATCATAAATATCACCTCAGGATAGTATTTGTAAAAAATTACTGGTAAATTAATACCAACTTAACAAAAAAAATGTATTCATATTTTTATATATTTTCTTTTGTTATTGACGCATTCTCTTGTAAAGATGACCTTTAAAATTAAATCGGTCGACAAACAGAAGAAGAATAAAAAATACTCAATCTGTTTTAACTTATTCTATATATGTATATACCTAAGTAAATCTATATCTATATCTATACTCTATACTAATATTATAAAGAGGAAAGATTTGTTTGTTTGTTTGTTTCGAATAGGCTCCGAAACTACTGGACCGATTTGAAAAATTCTTTTTCCATTAGAAGCCGACATTGTCCCTGATGAACATAGGCTACTTTTTTAAAAAATTTTTTTTTTTTGTTTCATGTTTGTTTTAATGTTTCCGAAGCGAAGCGAGGGCGGGTCGCTAGTATAATAATATCATGATTGCCAAAACTTAAAAGAAAGTTTAGGAAAGAGATCATAAACATACAAATATATTTTTTATTTAAATAGCTAAGATAGATAAATAAACAACGTTATTCCACATTCAACGGTGCTAAGCTAGGATTTTATTACAGGTATCCGAATCACACAAGACAAGAACAAACACATGTAGACCCCGAAAATCAACGTTTCTGTTTTTTGTCAAAATTACGCATTCCACTATTGGTTTTTTTTAATAAATAAATTCTATGAAATTTAGCCAGTGTTAAGAGAACTTCTATTAAAATTAAAGATACTATTCTATGATATATAAACGAAAAGAACACTTAAATTATTTTCCAAAATAGTATAAAATAGGTCTATTTTATCATGGTTGTAAAATATCAAAAATTATTCTAAAAATGCTAAATATTATGGGTAAATTTAAGTCTGTCAAATATTATAAGGTCGTTGTGAAATAATATTTCACTTCTACATCAATTGTAGCAATGAAAGCTACTTTAAACTATTTTATTTTCATAATGCTAACACTATCGAATTTTCGTCAGGACTTTGAGAATATGTTTTTCCTCGTGAATATTAAAATCCTTCTGGAGTGATTCGTGACGTGTTTAAGCTATACTTAACCTAGTTTGAATGAAATGCATTTTCATTCTATAGATATGCTTTTTAATTATAAAGTAATTTTGTCAAATCATCTTATCTTCTATATTCATAAAAAAAAACATTTAAATATTTTTTTATCTATTATAATTAAACATAGAAAAAGACAGTTTGTTTCAAATAAAGCCTGTGGACAATGTTATGCATCAATTAAACTAAAGTAAATCTATTTAAAAAAATTAGTAGTGGTTCTTTTCCCACCGCACTTGTTTTATACCTATAGAACTTCTTCTTCTTCTTTTTCTCCGCCTTATCCCACTAAGTGGGGTCGGCACAGCTAATTTTTCACTTCCATTCTCTTCTATCAGCCGTCATCTCAACATTTACTCCTCTCTCTCTCTCTCATATCGTCATTCACACACTCCATCCGTGTCTTCTTCGGTCGACCTCTTCCCCCTCTACCTTGCATTACCGTTTCCATACATCTCCTAGTCACATGCATCTATACCTATAGACCTGCATTCCATAAAGGCCTTACGATTATTGGATCGCTCATTCTGAATAATACACGAATAAAAAACTAAATATAACCACCTAGTAGCATTTTTTTCAACGCATTGAATGTAGAAAATTTTCATATTTGTCAGCACAAGATCCTGATTAATGCAATACTGCAATATTATGCCGGGTTTTTGAATATTCGAGGTGCGTCGTTCGTGTTCGTCCATCCCTAGAGGATCGGCATAACGAGATTAAACTCGCGGTTATGGATATCCCAGTTTCCCCGATGAGCCCTCTCATAATAACTACATTGATTAACCGCTGTAAAGAGCCTCATTTAGGGGCGTCACGTTTCACACATTACGGCTCGCCAGTGACGTTAAATTGTGCTAAATTTTTTTCATAAATATTTGTTTTTATACCTATGCTATGGTAACCTTAGAGGGCTTTGCCAGCGTCACCGAGCGATTAGGTGAGCTGACAGGGCTCTACTAACTAGAGAAAATAAACCATATTATAAATGATAGCACATAGTTTTGTTTAGCAAATTGCTTTCTTCAATAACAATAAAAATAATGTAGATTTTTTTTTTAATATAAACATTCTGCAAGTGTGAATGAGCTATGAGAATAAGTTATATAATATTTTGAAGATGAAGAAGATGAAGAAGTCGTCGTAGCCTAAGACGTCTTATACGTCCGGTGCATTCGTATTTAGCGATTCGCCGGTGTTCAAATCCCAATTTTTTAATGAAATACGTACTCAACAAATGTCCACGATTGACTTCCACGGTGAAAGAAAATAGCATCGTGTAATAAAAATCAAACCCGCAAAAAATATAATTTGCGTAATTACAGGTGGTAGGACCTGTTGTGAGGCCGCACGGATAGGTACTACCACCCTGTCTATTTCAGCCGTGAAGCAGTTATGCGTTTCGGTTTGAAGGGCGGGGCAGCCATTGTAACTATACTGAGACCTTAGAACTCACATCTCAAGGTGGGTGGCGCATTTACGTTTTGGATGTCTATGGGCTCCAGTAACCACTTAACACCAGGTGAGATGTGAGGTCGTCCACCCATCTAAACAATAAAAAAATACATTTTGAAAACTGCATTTTAAACTTTATTTCGGACAAACACAAAAAGGCTTTGGGAACAAAGAATTTGGAGATGTAGCCAAAATCCACCAATTTATAAAGACAAAGCGTATAATTTTGACATGGACGTGCACGGCTACGAATATTAAAATAATTCATAATATTTAGATAGGACTATACAGCATTGTTGCAGAAGTTTCCAGAGAGGATATTGTATTCGAATCACGTTGTTGACTGCTACTTGTCTCTAGAGGATCAACGAAATGAGATTCGATTCCGCTGCAACGGATAGGCCAGTTTCCCTAGTGATTTTACTTCACAATAACCACGCTAATGAAGTTTAATATGAAGTTTTGAGATAACAAATTCTGAATGAATTTCGGATTCGCGTATATTTATTTATATGTGGTTTAATAGGGAATATTCATGTATTATTTTTATGTTTTTAAACGATTCCACTAGTTATTACTTTACCAAAAATAAATTTCCGTAATACAAACCATTAGGCAATTTTTTTTTAAATTAAAATCACTGTAATTTTTGGCGCGATTTAAACACGGCCATTTTGGCACGCATTTTCTGTGACGTCAGATTACAACCGAATTCGATGTCAACAATGAAGCGAAGTTCACAATTTAAAAAAGGTGACATTTTTAATGGACATTATGC